GGACTTGTAGTAAGGAGGGAGCAGGCCAGCTATATATGGTGTAGCTTCGAATTCAGGTCGGTGTTTCAGCAGTTATGGGTTACTGACTTACTAACTCGGCATGTGATTTTCAGGGCTTCACTCCACTGCTCACCAAATGTGCAAAACTAGAACGAATCTTCACCTACAAACTGGAACCATAAAAACCACATGTTTTTCTTTTGTGATGAGTGGAGCGAGGCCCTTAGGGCCACTGCACGTAAGAGAAGGAAAAACAAAAAAACGAGACAGCTACTGTAGTGTTTGTAGTACTTTGTAACCCATAACTCTTGGAACACAGACCTGAATCCGAATCCAGGATATATTGCTGGCCTGCCCGTGGACTGCCAGCAGCTCCATGAAGCGAGGCCCTTCCAAAAGTATGGGAACCCTGCTGATTTTTTGCAGGGGACCTTCTAGAAAAGAAAATAGATCCAATGAGTTGTACGAAGTGGCCCCAACATAGATCCATGATGCTAGGCGTGATCATTCTCTTTACAGGCCCCATGGGTCGACCCTAAGTGCCCCCCAAAGTTTGCCTGGACACCCTGCTGTACGAAACTAGATGTGCACAACCTAGATATCATGCAGTGGGTAATGGCCCCTCCCTGACGACGGTCTACCCTATGATGTCCCCTGAGCAACCTGGGTATACCCACCTAGCACAGTACTATCAGCTGTTCTGGCCATTGTGATTGTACATATCACCTAGAGGTATTCTAGTCTCCGTCATCAGGAGGTACACGACCACCATCTGCCCCCTTTCCTCGGTCATCAACTAGAACCTCTCCAGTTGCGGTACTTGTGTTGTGTTATGAACTTGGTTGTTTGACAATTTACTTGCCACTCACACACAGAAGAACTCACACACGCCCATACATGCATGAGACCAAGGGGAGGAGGAGATAGAGTCCAACTGCACACAGATCAGAGATAAACAGCGGAATAGCAATTATGCACACAAGGGGAGAATACACTCAGTGTTTCTCTCTCCCTGACACACTCCCAACGACCAATCACAATTGACACTGCGAAGATCACAATTGGAAAGTAACCCAGATGATGAGCCAACTCAGCACAGTTAACCTCAATTGTCGTTACAGAGTTCAACCCAGTGTCTCGCCACTCAAGAACCACACACTCCACTCACTTCTACACTCTCAGAGTCTAGCGCTGCACAGCAACAGCCTCCCAGAGGCCAGCGCCATACACCCGGATGCACATCATGAACGGCGAAGTAGTCTCCAGTGCCGATGAGTCACTCTGACGATGACGAAGGCAGCTATGGCTGCCTAGCTGCTACCGCAGCAGCAATACCCACATGTACTCAGTGAAGACCCTCCGATAGTCCTGCCAAACGCAGATATCCCCTGGGGATAGATGCGCTGAGTACAGCCCCAGCTATGGCTGTCTCAGCTAGGCGGGCTATGGCTGCCTCACACAGCTGATGTCGCCGGTGCCGCTGTAGACATTCAGCGCTGTTAAACTTAGTTGGCCACGAACGCAGTCATGCGGAAAATGAAAAGCCAAAAGTCCCAAACCATCTTCCCTACCGGACTTGTAGACTTCCTACTCTAGCCTAGACCTCGACCGGACTAACTGGACTGACCGGTACCATTGCTGTTTCGGCCTCTCGGCCTCTACCGTACCCGGCTATAGGCTATAGGACCGTATAGCAGTGTAGGCCACTTAGGGCCTGTCTGTCCTAGGGGTAGCCCGGGCCTGCTATAGGCAGTTAGGGTAGCTGTAGGAACTCGGTTAGTACCAGGTCTGTATTTTTCCCAAAAATTACAGATCTGTCCCTCACGAATTTCCACACAGGCGGATCTCTCGGTTAGCCCTCAGCCAAACAAAATTGCAAAACTAACCCTACAGGTTCGTGTACAGCCTCGCAGTCAATCGCGGCAGCAGGAATCAGCAAGTCATTGCACTTGTTTCTGTTGTCACCCATAGTTGCTCCAGCCTTGGTTATCAGTCGGTACACAGTCACTGTCCGCCACTACACCTCTTTCATGAACTGGGCCTACTATGGTTTGCTTATCTTGAGAAGCATGCAATCCATCCACGATGGTCTCCCATTCAGCAATCCCACCTATGGCCCCAGCCCCCTAAGGCCCTAAGCTAACGAACTACGTGGTCATCCACTCTGCTAGACCAATCCAGTGTCTATCCCCTTTCTCTCAGTTGAAGCTGAGATCAACATCGCCTGACGGCACCCCGCTCTGCAACTGGTCCCCATCATTGAAACCCCTGGCCCATTCCTCCCTGTGCCCCAGCTGCTATATCTGTACTATGTGATATTGCCACACAGGGCAGATGAAAATCGCACCCTAGACCTCGCCCTCACAGCACCCTAGCAATAACCCACTGAGCTACTATGTCTGCTGATCCATTTATGTGCTGGACTATGCTGGGGGACAAGTACGTGGAGAGCTAACCGAGCATCAACCTATGCGCAGGGGATGTTGAGGGCGACAAAATAGAATTCGCAACCTCCCTGTTGCAACGCCATAGTTCTAACCCACTGAGCTACCGTGTTCACCCAAATAGAACGCCCGGTCATTATCGCCGCATCTGGACCCAAAGTTGTGCCAAATACAGCTATAATGACCGGGTGTTCTATTCAAGTAAAGACGGTGGTACTCTAGTCTCTGCTAGGAGGCCACGACCACCATCGGTCCCCGTAACGCGGTCATCAACTATACCCTCTCCAGTCTGTGGTTATTTATCATGGCTCCAATCTCCGTAATCAGTAGGTACAAGGCGACCATCTGCTGATCTGCGGCCTCCATCTGTCATCAACCTGTTCTATTTGTCATGGGAAGCAGGCAATCCCTCCTCTATGATGCCCACCGGGAACCGTCCCACCTGGAGCCCCGGCCCCCTTAAAGTAAGGCCCTAAGGTAACCATCTAGGTGATCATCCAGTCCACTGGGCCTACCAACCCGTCAACCCCTTTCTGTCTGTCCAACCTGAGATCAACGTTGCCGGACCCCACCCCCTAAAGGCCAGAGTACTTCGTGCTCTGCAACCTGTCCCCACCACTAACCCCTGCCCCATCCCTGTAATCCGAGTAAGCCTCCCTCCAAAGTACTGTGTATGCACAATTTTCAATCACACGGCTCTCCATCAGTTTGGCAAGACTACTGACTGTTTCCCTTCCATTTTCGTTACTATGGAAACGTGCGCTCCAGCTATACCTCTACTATGTGACATTCAGGGCCGATCAGAATCGAGCCGTGGACCCTTCCCTTGCAGCACCTAGCTTGAATGGGCTGAGCGACTACATCTGCTGATCCATCTGTGTGCTGTACTAGGCTGGGGAAGTAGTATGTGAGGTGCCAACCTTGGACCAACTGAATGTGCGCAGGGGAGGTTGGGGGCCGGCAGAATCAAACCCACAACCTCACCATTGCAATGCCAGAGCTTTTGACCCACTGCGCTACCACGCTTTTCCCACCCACTCAGCCATGGATGTCCGCTGGCATGCCCACTAGTACGGTCTTGATTCGTGACCCTAGCTGCACCCATCTGCTGGAACGGAGAGCCTAGCAAGGCCGCAATGTGTGTTGTAATGTTTGATATACGTAACTCCACCCAAAGAAGCACGACTGCGCCAGACTGTTTTGTGGGGCTTTCACAGACTCATCAGGAGGTTGAGTAC